GTTGAGCTTCCAAATCAATCCAATCTATGCACGTAAATAATCACAGTAAGATTTCTAACCCAACAACACCCATATTACTATAGGTTTAGCCTAGACCCAAAAACTCACCCAAATTTGCAATCAAGTTTCTAAGTTTCAAACCTAGGGTTAAGCTTCAACTTCTCCAATATAACAATTCTAACGGTATTCATGTAATACAATATACTCAATATTTAATTTTATACAAAAATAATAATTCTAACACCATTTTGTCTCAAAAGACAAATATATTGTATTGCGACCCTCAATTTACATCCTATGCTTAACCCATAACCACTGACAACATATAATAATTCCTTAAAAATTTCGTGACCTAAACTAACTTGAAATTGTAGTGTAGCATGTATTGAATATATATATACATACATACATATATATATATATATATGTATATATATAAATATAAAACTCCTAACAATTCAATTCCTTAACCCATTAAAATTATATTGTATTAATTTTTCAATGGCAATCATTGCCAATCATCACCTCTTAATTATCACCAAAAATTGATAACAAAAAAAAAGAATATTGTAATAATAGTGTTAGCACTGTTTCTTGTCCACTATATTTTCAAAGCCGCCTGAAACGATGCAGCAGCATCATATGACTTCACTACTGCACCCCTTCAATTTATTACAATCATTATACTAATATAATAATATTAAATATTGGTTACCTCCACTAAGTTCCAAAACCCCACAAATCACCACTACCCACTCTAATTAATTTCATATAAAAATTGAATTTAATAATATAATCAACTGTTGGAAATTAATGTTTGTAAGCGTAGAATTGAACTCAATTACAACAAAATTGCTTACTTGAATGGTGGTGCCGAACTCTATGTTTGTGCTCGCCGCAAGCTTAATTATGTATTAAAAGTAATAATTTTTACTAACCTATATTAATATTTCAGACTTGGCCCATTATTATTAACAATAAACAAATTACCGATAAATTAATTAATTATAGCTAAATGATTATTCAAAATTATCAAAAATAACCTTTCGGGTCCGGGTCATTACATTATCCACCACTAAAAACTATGTTCCTCCTTGAACATAAATTAAAAGCAAGTACCTGAAGTTTCGAAAAGCTGAGGATATCTGGCACGCATGTCAGACTCTGTCTCCCAAGTCGTCTCATCAACTGAACGATGCTTCCACTACACCTTCACTAAAGAAATCTCCTTGGTTCTAAGCTTTCGAACCTGCCTATCCAATATAGCTATAGGTTCCTCCTCAAATGTCAAGTATGGATCGAACTCCACTGAATCGATTGAAAGCACATGAGACTCATCCAGAATATACTTCCGAAGCCTAGAAACATGGAAAACAGGATGAACCGTCGACAAACTAGGTGGCAAGACCAACTTATAGGCCACCTCTCCCACTCGGCTCAAAATCTCAAAAGGTCCAATGAATCTAAGGCTAAGCTTGCCCTTCTTTTCAAACCGCATCACACCCTTCATGGGTGACACTCTAAGCCAAACATGATCGCCCTCCATAAACTCTAAGGCTCTAACTCTCCGGTCTGCATAACTCTTTTGTCGACTCTGAGCTGTCAACTGTCCATACTGAATCATACGGACTTGCTCCATAGCATCTCTAAGCAAGTTTGTATCCAAAGAGTCCATCTCCGCCAAATCAAACTAACCGATCGGAGACCTATACCGTCTGCCATACAAAGCCTCAAATAGGGCCATCTGAATACTAGAGTGATAACTATTATTGTAGGCAAACTATGATAAGGGCAAATGTTGATCCCATCTAGCACCAAAATCGATCACACATACTCGGAGCATGTCCTCCAATATCTGAATCGTTCGCTCAGACTAATCTGAGGATGAAAAGTTGTACTCATATCTAACTGAGTACCCAAACCATGTTGTAATGCCTTCCAGGAATGGGAAGTGAACAATGAACCTCGATCAGATACAATAGAAACCGGAACTCCATGTAGTCACACAATCTGACTGATATAAAAGCTCGGCTAGCTTCTCCGCCGTATACTTCACCCGAACTGAAATGAAGTGGGCAGACTTGGTCACCCTGTCAACAACAACCCAAATGGAGTCATAACCACCCACTGTGGTAGGCAAACCCATAATAAAGTCCATAGTGATCCGCTCCCACTTCCAAGTAGGAATAGGCATCCTCTGAGATATACCCCCGGGCCTCTGGTGTTCACACTTGAATTGTTGGCAAGTCAAACACCTAGAAACAAAGTCGTGCAATATCTCTATTCATGCCACACTACCAGTAATACTGACTCAGATCATGATACATCTTCGCCGCTCTCGGATGGATGTAATAGCGAGAATAATGGGCCTCCTCAAGAATCAATCTAATCAATTCACCCGTCTTAGGCACATAAATCCTACCTCTGATCCTCAAGACACTATTAAAATCAAGGACAACTTCCTTGTCTTACCATCTCAACACTTTGTCTCGAATCAGACATAATTTCTCATCATCAAACTGGTGCTCATGGATTTGCTCGACTAAAGAAGACCGAGCCTCAATAAAAGCAATCATACCACCACTATCCTTTGAAATTTGCAACCGCACAAAACTGTTTGCTAACATCTGAACATCTCTAGCCAACGGTCTCTCCTCAATACTAAGCACGGCAAGACTCCCCATGGTAGGAGTCTTCCTACTCAAAGCATCGGCTACCACATTGGCCTACCTCGGATGGTATAAAATGGTCACATCATAGACTTTAGCAACTTAACCCATCTCCGCTGCCTCAAGTTCAGATCCCTCTGACTGAAGATGTACTGAAGACTCTGATGATTAGTGAAGATCTCACAATGCACGCCATACAAATAGTGACGCCATAACTTAAGTACAAAGACCATGACCACCAACTCCAAATCATGAGTAGGGTAGTTTTTCTCATGGGACTTCAACTGCCTAGAAGCATAAGCAATCACCTTCCCCTTCTGCATCAATACACCACCCAACCCGACTCTTGAAGCATCACGATACACAGTAAAGTCCACACCTTCCTCAGGTAGAGCCAATATAGGAGCCGAAGTCAACAAAGTCTTGAGCTTTTAAAATATCTCCTCACACTCATCAGACCATTGGAAACCCACACCCTGTCGAGTCAATCTAGTCAACGGAGCTGCAATAGTAGAGAAACTCTTAACAAATATTCGGTAATAGCCTGCTAATCCCACAAAACTTTGAATCTCGATAGGAGAAGTAGGTCGCGTCCAGTCTCTAACTACCTCAATCTTGGCCGGATCTACTCTAATACCCTCATTGGACACCACATGTCCCAATAATGCCACAAAATTAAGCCAGAACTCATAGTTTGAGAACTTGGCATACAATTTATGTTCCCTCAACCTCTGAAGTACAATCCTCAAGTGTCAGACATGGTCCTCCTCAGTCCTGGAGTAAACCAAAATATCATCGATAAAGACAATCACAAAAGAATCAAGGTATGGTCGAAACACCCCGCTCATCAACTCCATGAATGATGCAAGGACCTTAGTCAACCCAAATGACATCACTAGGAACTCATAATGCCCATACAGAGTCCGAAAAGTCGTCTTAGGGATATCTGATGCCTTAATCTTCAACTGATGATACCCCGACCTCAAATCAATCTTAGAAAACAACGATGCTCCCTGTAGCTGATCAAATAAGTCATCAATATGCGGAAGAGGATACTTATTCTACACTGTTACCTTGTTCAACTGTCTGTAATCAATGCACATCCTCATAGTCCCATCATTCTTCTTCACAAACAACACAGAGGCACCACAATGTGACACACTAAGGCAAATAAACCCCTTACTTAACAAATCCTGTAACTGGTCCTTCAACTCTTTCAACTCTGCTGGAGCCATACGGTAGGGAGGAATAGAAATCCTGTAACCTCAAGTCAATAAGTCTTTCAAACCATTCTCAACACATTAGACACCAACAATTAATCACATTATTTTTTATCACCCCTTTTTCATCATTAGAATTATTCAATATGGACAAGTCAACCCATCACCAAGTCCCATTACTCCCCAAAACATACCACAAGGAAATACATGATTCTATACACTTAACAAGGATTTAGAAATCTACTTGCCTCAAACAATCGAATAATTACTCTGGGACTTGAGCCTTCTCCTTTCGTTGAGCTTTCAAATCAATGCAATCTATTCACGTCAATAATCACAGTAAGATTTCTAACCCAACAACACCCATATTACTATAGGTTTAGCCTAGACTCAAAAACTCACCCAAATTTACAATCAAGTTTCTAAGTTTCAAGGCAAGGGTTAAGCTTCAACTTCACCAATATCACAATTCTAACGGTATTCATGTAATACAATATACTCAATATTTATACAAAAATAATAATTATAATACCATTTTGTCTCAAAAGACAATTATATTATATTCCGACCCTCAATTTACATCCTATGCTTAACCCATAACCATTGACAACATATAATAATTCCTCAAAAATTTCGTGACCTAAACTAACTTGAAACTGTAGCGTAGCATGTATTGAATATATATATTTATATATATATAAACTCCTAACAATTCAATTCCTTAACCCACTAAAATGATATTGTATTAATTTTTCAATGACAATCATTGTCAATTATCACCTCTTAATAATCACCAAAAAAAGATATCAAAAAAGAATATAATAATAATAGTGTTAGCACTGTTTCTTGTCCCCTATATTTTCAAAACCGCCAGAAATGATGCAGCAGCACCATATGACTTTACCACTGCCCACCTTCAATTTATTACAACCATTATACTAATATAATAATATTAAATATTGGTTACCTCCACTAAGTTCCAAAACCCCATGAATCACCACTACCCACTATAATTAATTTCATATAAAAATTGACTTTAATAATATAATCAACAGTTGGAAATTAATGGTTGTAAGCATAGAACTGAACTCAATTACACAAAATTGCTTACTTGAATGGTGGCGCAGATCTCTGTGTTTGTGCTCGCCGCAAGCACAAATGAATTTCTTTCTTCTCTTTATTTTCTTTTCTAAATTAATTATGTATTAAAAGTAATAGTTTCTACTAACCTACTTTAATATATCAGACTTGGCCCATTATTATTAACAATAAACAAATTACCCACAAATGAATTAACTATAGCTAAATGACTATTCAAAATTATCAAAAATGACCTTTCGGGTCCGGGTCATTACAACTTAATTGTGCCTTTTCATGGATAATAAGATGAATATGATTAATGACCATTCAGTGAAATTTATGCTTAGCACTAGGTGGACTAGCAACGATTATCCATGTCCCATAACTATGTGCCACCATAGGTTTGGTTTAGATTGACATTAGCTAGTGGATCAACTTTAGCTCAAGTTTATGGTTTTTACCTTGGCAAGTAAGGACATCTCTTTTCGGTATGGGATAGTCAACGGATTCCATATTATATCTCACATGGTCTATGCTGGTTAATGGCAAACTTCCCACAATAACGAACTAAGGTTACTTTCTAAAAGTATATCACATGTGTTCTAAAGATAGTTTAGCTTGCATTTGACCATGATTATGACTTATATTTTCTAACATGTTATTTTATGGTTTATCTTTGTCATTACATGTCATGTAAAGTCCCTTTTAGCATGATTTCAGAACTCTTATGCATTGTTATCATACTTAGTACATTCCATGTACTAATGCATACTTGTGCCTATATTGTTTCACTAATGTAGGGTCCGACGCTTCTATTCCACACACTCATGGATAGACATTCCTTTGTTTCTTCAGTTGAAGATTGGTGAGTCATCATGTTTCCAGGACCGAGACTTTTTTACAGCTTTATGTCATTTTTTTCAGACTTGTATGTGATGTATGAGTTACGTCCCAGTCACTTTCCTTATGATGCACTAGATAGCTTGAGACTTATTTTAGACTTCTGCTTTTGTCAAACTCTTTATGATATAAGACTGTTTTTTGAATTCTTTAAATTTCATTATCTTGTATGATGTATGCTAAGTGACTTGTGTAGGGCCTTTTGGGTTCCTATAGACATGTTACACCTAGGGTATACTTTGGATCGTAACACAATCACCCATAATGCAAGCTTCCCAAGTGGTAGAGGATTTGACTTAGACCCCTACCCCTACCCTATATATTACTAAGCAAAAATTTACAATGTATGAAACAAAATAGCTGAATTTCGTCGAGCAAAGCCTAAAGCGAAGCTTAGGGGCTCGCAGTGCAAGGTCTAAAGTGAAGGGGGGGGGGGGGACAATTTTCACCCGCTTTAAAGTTTTTCATACCCTACATTAGGTCCTCATAGAGCGAGCAAGAAAAGCTTGTGGCGCGAGGTCCAAAGCGAAGGCTACTGCCTCGCACTGCAGGTGCCAAAGACAAGGGAAAATTCCCCTATTCCAAGTCCGACTTGGAGGGACCTTCTAGGTGTTTTTAAATATTATAAATATATATCCTTAGTCATTTTGGAGGAGGAAGAATATTTAGAAGCATAGGGTAAGAATAAAGTCGCAATTCTCGTAGGGTAATCGCAATTCTCGTAAGGTTACTTTATCTCTTTACTTAACTTTATTTCTTATTGCTACACGAATTATGGCTTCAGATTATTAGTGGCTAAAAGCTTTCTATATAGGGTTATGGCCATAATATGAACATCATAGTTTATATATAGAGTGTTAATATGGATTCTACCATAAAATTTTGTTCTCTTAATTTTGTGCTTACTATTCGATGGTTCCTTCGATATCTTCATCCACCGATTGGTTTACGAATCAAAGAAGACGAATAAACTACAATAAAAGTAGGTGTGCCAGTCGGATTGACTAAACCAATGCAACAATCAAGAAAGCAATCGAGAAGACATGAGTTTTCAAACTTTAGTATAAGTCTTTATCGCATATGTGAGCTTCCCCTTATCTTATTTCCCGCCACAAAGACAATAAGAGAAGGAAACTTCTAACAATAAAAAAGATGTACTACAATCGCATACGCATACTCCTAACTTTATTATCATATTGTGTACAACCAACATCAAGCCTAGATGAGTCATGACCTACAATATATCTTGCACCTACTGAGGACTTGACTCCTCCTAGTCAACCAATTGCTTCGAAAAGGTATGCAATTCACTTGTAATACTAGACCCTATTATACCTTTTTAAGTAATCATTGTTTGTCATCACCCATAATCCTTTGTATCATATTTTCCCTTTATTTCCATCCACAAGTTTACATGTGAAAAACTTCCTCATTTCGGATGGCAACATATTCCGATTGATGAGATGTCTTCTTTACATGTTTCTCTTCCTTCAGGTAAATCTAGTGTTGGTTAGTGTTGAATTTATGCAGACAAAGTTGATCCAGACAGCCAAGTTAATAGTCTTAAGGCTCACCCTATTGCCAAAGGTATACTTAGATATTGAGGTTAATTACGATGATACATTTTTTCTTATGGCTAAAATATCATTTGTTCGCCTTTTTCTATCTTTGGGCTATGGTTGTTGTTCACCATTAACCTCTTCAACAGTTAGACATTAAGAATGTGTTAGTCCATGGTGACCTTGAGGAAAAAAATCTATGGGGAGAAACCACGTAGTTTTGTTTCTCGGGGGGAAGGGGAGAGTCTAGTAGTCTTGTATGTCGATTTTGTCGGTCACTATATGGTCGGAAGTAATCTCTTGGAGCATGATTTGGAAGTTCAACATAGTAATTCAAGATTTTGGCATGAATCGTAGTGAAGTTGATCACTCTTTGATTAATTAGCATTCTACTCCATATCTGTTTATTTATTTGATGGTTTATGTTGTCGATATTGTTATCACCTATAATGATCAAAATGGGTATCACTTATTTAAAATATTATCTCTTTCAATATTTTCAGACTAAAGACTTCAACAGATTTAAGTATTTTCTAGATATTGAGGTTGCTAAGTCAGATAATGTGTTGTTATATGAAAGGCCTTATACATTCTTGAAGATATGGGAACGATGGTATGTAGGCTCATTGACACTCCTACAGATTCTAATGTTAAACTCTTGCGAGAATAGAGGGATCCACTCAATGTCTTTAGAAGATAAAAACAGTTGGTTGGTAAACTGAATTATCTCACATTGACTAGAGAATACAATTTTGTTTATAAAGATAAAGTTGACTAGACTATACATTTCTTTTCAAATGAGTGTTTATAAGTTATGTCATTGAAATGCAGTTGTCCGTATTTTACAATATGTAAAGTCAACTTCAGGCAGATACTTGGATATGCAAACATGGATTGAACATAATTACCTATTCATAGACGTTTTGCATCAGAATATTGTATTTTATTAGGAGGTAATTTGATGTCCTGGAAGAGTAAGAAACAAAGTGTGGTTGCTCTCTCGAGTGTAGTAGCAGAATATCAAACAATGGTTGTAGCAACTTGTGAACTAGTTTAGGTCAAATAGTTGCTAAGAGAATATGATATCTCATGAGAAATTTCGTCCACGTAACTTTTCTTTTTTGCTGGCATATTTTTTTCAAAAAAAATATTTTTCATTTAATTTTTAAAAACTTAAACTCTTCCCTTCTTCTTCATTAATTCTCAATCATTTTTGTTCATTTCTTCACTTTTGTTTTAATCACCTTCTTAAAGTGTTTCTGAAGTTTTTGTCACGGCTGAAGTTGTCACACCTTTCTTAGGTTGGGAATTTTGTCATTTGAGCTGAGAAAACTTTTGGTTTTGGGTGTTCTTTAATGGGCTCTTGAAAATTACTTAGTGTTGTTTGTAGCTTAACTTCTTACAATGTTCTTTGTTTAGATTACATTAGATTGATATACCCAATTCTTGATTTTGATTTACCTAGGTAAATTATTTTATTTTATTTTAACTTTTTGCCATGGTGGAACTATTTTCCATGTGACAATTCATGTGATAGTTTTTTTAAAAGAGAGTGTAATACACATACCTGACATATTATGTGTGGTGTTTTTGTTAAATTTATAAGTGATAGTTTAGTTGTGATTCTCACACTCCTAATAGTTTAAGTATGAAACTAAAAAAATAAAATAGTTTAAGTGTGTTTTTGATACGTAGCTCTAGTTTTAATTATATTAATTTATAAAATATTTAAAATTAACGATATACTAGACTTACACCCGGTGCCTCATTCCATATAAGTAAAATGTCTCGGGTTGTGGTGTAGTGATGAGTTGTGGTGCAGTGGTGGAACTGTTTCACCCTTAATCAGAGGTCTCAGATTCGAGCCCTGGTGTGAAGAAAATCCTATTTGGAGCGCCATCCCCAAATAGGCCATGCAGTGCACATCTGAATTTAATCGGAACTCCAATGTGGACTCTGAGAAAAACAAAAGAAAAAGTCTTAACTTGCATCCACACCCTTTTAAAACACATTCAAATAAAACTATTTTTTTAAATAAAAAAAAAGTTAAAATAAGGAGAAAGTCTTCCAATTCTCGAGTTTTTAACAAGACATGAAAAGGAAAGGGGTCATTTGGCAGGGCGTATAAATATAATGCTAAATAGAGTTTATTAGTAATGCTTGTATTAATTATATATAGATTATTTTTTATGCATTGTTTGATTAGGTGAATTAAAAAATACATGCATTACATAAAAATATATATTTACAAAAATATTCTTCACAATTATGGTGAAAAAGATGTAAAAGGTGTTTTAAGGGGTAATTGAGTCTTAATTATGCTAATGCATGTATTAAGAGCCCGTTTGGATTGACTTATAAAAATAGCTTCAAATAAAAAAATAAAAAGTAGGGGGAGACCTACTTTTAGTTTTTAATTTTTTAAAAAGTTATTTTAAATTTATTTTAATCTATTTTTAACTTTGCCTAACACTTTCAAAAAGCTAGAATGACTTAAAAATAAGTTTGAGCAACTTTTAAATCCATTTGCATTACTAATACTTAGAAATTCAAAATATAAGTAATATACTCGTCAATATACAATAGAGTGCATTAGTTATACATAACATGAAAAAATGTACCAAACAAAATACTATTAATACACAAAATTAATGCATGCATTATTATTTGTATAACTTACATAAATCCCATAGTTTTAATATGAAATTACAATCTATCCCTCATTAGTTTGTAATTACATTAATCCCTTAAAAAGTAACACAAACCGGATACATAATATGTAGCTCGGATACATGAAAGAGTATCTCGGATACATTATAACATCAACCGGATACATAATATGTAGCTCGGATACATTAAAAATTAGCTTGGATACATAATATGTAGCTCGGATATATTAACTACTGGCTCAGATACATTAATATGTAGCTCGAATACATTAAAGAGATAAGGAATTTTAGAGGTTTTTAAAAATAGAAGGAGATATTAGAAATAAGAGAAACATAAAACGTGTTTTTCAGTAATTTTTCCTTATTTTTACTAATACCCAACCAAACAATCCCTAACTTTTCATTTGTTCGGATCTGAGAGAAACAACCTGTATACAACTCAAAGGACTTGCCCAATTTGGTTTTCTCTAATCCAAAAATTCCATATTTCGCCTATACTCCCATCTTTTGTTAAGTATTATTATGTATTCTCCTCGCCAGTATATTAATATTAATATTAATCTTAATTATTAATATTAATTAGACATTACCCAGTACTTACTGCTTACAAAATTCATTTCAAGCATCAGTCCTCTCTCTTCTTGAAGAACCCTGTCCTTCCCCCCTCTCTCTGTCTGGATCTCTTTCTCCCACTTCCTTTCGTCTCTGGGAGACTCCGAGGATTCTTCTTCGTTTGAGATCGATCTCTGGCGGTTGGGCTTCGCACCAAATTGCCCATTTCATCCGCCCTTGCTGTTTGCAATTTCTCATAGATCCGGAGCTCTGATCCATTATCTTTGATCTCGCCATCATGGCGGCTGCCAATGCTCCGATCACCATGAAAGAGACCCTTACGGTAAATTAATTTCACTCTATTTCCATGAGTAATTCAGCCTTCATATGTACTTTTTGACTCATTAGTATTTTTGTATTGGTAGCTTAGCATGTATGGACTCTTAGTTAGATCTGTCATATGTAGTTCTATTGCCAGATCTGTGATTTGATATTGTTTTTACTTTTGGCATTGAATTTCAAATTATGTTGATGGCTCTTGCAGTTGCAAAGTATAGGGGTGAACCCGCAGTTCATCACATTCACCAATGTTACCATGGAATCGGATAAGTATATATGTGTAAGAGAGACGTCGCCTCAGAATAGTGTGGTGATTATTGATATGAACATGCCAATGCAACCTTTGAGGCGTCCAATTACGGCTGATTCTGCTCTTATGAATCCTAATTCTAGAATTTTGGCTCTAAAAGGTATGTAATCTTTGACAAGTGTTAGATTCTCATGGATGGTTTTTGTACTGGTTCAAAGTTACTGGCTTCTGAACGGGTTTGATAGGAACACCTGAACTGCAGGTAATTTGTAATTACTGACTTCATAGTTTGTTGGATAATTCACCTTTGAGCAAAAGAAAAGTCTCTCTTCACCATTATCTTGATGTGCTAAAGAACTTTGAGACTAGAAAGAAGTAAATAGGGATAGCAAAAGAATTTTGAAACTAGAAAAAAAGGGGACATCAATAATCATAATAGTGCAAAGTGCACATGTGAAGCTTTAAGCAAGCTATGTAATAATTATGGCATAGATCAAGGAGGTTGATTAGGTTTGACTTTGCTGTGTGTCGTGATCTCCTCCTCGTGTGGATGACACACTTTTTGATTGGAGTGAGTGAAACATAAGAACCTAAATGGTGACCACTCTTAATTTTACAGAGGAAGTTGTAAATTGAAGAAATTGCGCCATACATTTTAGTTCCTTTTTCTCACAGCACCTTATTTCACCCGAGTGGTGTTAACTTGATGCTAATGGTTGATGCATTTCTTGGCTAATCTAGAACGTGTAGTTTCTAGTTGGATCTTCATTATATTTTCTACAATAGTGGAACTTATCAGTGTTGCTGCTACATGTCAGCTGTTATATTGCTTACAGAGTCCCTCTTCCCACTGACATCCTGGTGTATGTTTTTGGAATTCTAATTAGAACCAGCACTTTGTAGTTTGGCCAAGCCAAGCCAACCCTTCTATTGTTTTCTTGCATGAATTAAGATTATTATTTCAATCAAACAATTGTTAATTTAAGAGATGGAGTATATACAGGAGAAATCTGTTTTAAATGAGTTAATTTTTTTTAAGCTTGAAAAACTGCCCTTCCTCACGTTATTCTTTTTTGAAAAATGGGAAGACTACTCTTCCTCTGTTTCTTGATGATGGCATGATGCAATCCTCTCTTATCTCTTGAAGCTCAAGTTCCTGGAACCAGTCAAGATCACTTGCAGATTTTCAATATTGAGGCAAAACAGAAAATAAAATCATATCAGATGCCTGAGCAGGTGCTTGCTTTACGTATTTACTTGATTTGGTTTATGCATTATTTACTGCCCATGGTCATCAATCATGTGATGAGTTCTGCCATATAACGACCAAATGTGTACTACAGGTTGTTTTCTGGAAATGGATTACACCGAAGATGTTAGGTCTTGTTACACAAACGTCAGTCTATCATTGGCCAATTGAAGGTAAGGCAGTTTTTCTTTTCACATTACAACATTTTTTTGGGTCCTGTTTGCCTGGTGAAGCTCTTTTTTCTGTTGGTAATGATTTGTTTTACACATTTTGAAAATGGTAGATGGTTGTGTCCTTAATAATTCCCTCTTATCTTTGTGCAGGGGATTCTGAGCCTGTAAAGATGTTTGATAGAACAGCCAATTTAGCCAACAACCAAATAATCAACTACCGATGTGATCCTTCTGAGAAATGGTTGGTTTTAATTGGTATTGCCCCAGGTTCACCAGAGGTGTGTAATGCTTACATGTTAGTGGAAAACTTAATCTTGATGTCTTATTCCTGAAAGCAGACCTACTTAACTTCCCAATCAGCCTTGTCACTGTCATCGGTGATGCAGACACTAAGACGTTTGTGTAGGGCTTGCCAGCTTTTCTAAATTGTCTGATTTTTTAGTCTCTGTGATTGCTCCGTCTACGTCCCATCATTGTAACTTGCTTTTGCATGTTTTTTTTTTTTTTTTGTATTTGGACTGTGTAACATGCTATGATAGTGGTTAGTTGCATCAAAATGCCAGTATACTGCAATTACTTTTTGCTACTTAGATGTTTGATGATATTGATTAAAAATTTTGAGCTCAAAAGAGTGGGATTTTTAAAAATCTGGGAGAAACACGTTTGTATTTGTTAAGATTCTCATATTTATTGAATATAGAAGGAACGTGCACTTCCTTTTTTGACTATTCTGCTGTGACTTGTGTTAATAGAGGCCTCAACTGGTCAAAGGAAACATGCAATTATTTTCAGTGGATCAGCAACGCAGTCAAGCTCTCGAGGCACATGCTGCAGCATTTGCCTCATTCAGGGTGAGAAAGATCCTCCATAATTCTTCTTTTAATGTGTTCAGCCATTGTTGATTTTATGTTTTCCTGCCTGACTGTTTCTTGCTTTATTCAGGTTCCTGGAAATGAAAGGGATTCCATACTCATTTCCTTTGCCACGAAGTCCTCCAATGCTGGACAAATCACATCAAAGTTGCATGTCATTGAGCTTGGAGCCCAGCCAGGTCAGAACACTGCTCTCTTATTACTACAACCTGTAGTTCAATTGTGAATTTATTTAGTAAAATTGTGGGGCAAATCTGCCTCATATGGTTGTCATCAGTTCTCTTAATATGTTAAATGTTTGCAGGGAAACCGTCTTTTACGAAGAAACAGGCAGATCTCTTCTTTCCTCCAGATTTTACTGACGATTTCCCAGTTGCCATGCAGGTATCTCTTGCCTTCCCTGTGTGGAGCTGTTGTCACTTTATTTGTCTTTCTGCATTTTATGAATTCAGTTTCTTATAACACGGCTCTTTGTTATTCTGGCAGATATCTCATAAATACAGTTTAATTTATGTCATCACAAAGCTTGGGCTTCTCTTTGTCTATGACCTCGAAACAGCTACTGCAGTGTACAGAAATAGGATCAGCCCAGATCCTATTTTTCTGACAGCAGAAGCTTCATCTATTGGTGGTTTCTATGCCATCAACAGGCGAGGCCAAGTTTTGCTTGCCACAGTTAATGAAGCAACTCTAGTACCTTTTGTCAGTGGCCAAGTACGTGTATTCTATTATTATATTGTATCATTAGCATTTTATTTAACCTAACCATAAACTTTGTACACATAATATTCCAGTTGAATAATCTGGAGCTTGCTGTCAATCTTGCCAAAAGAGGAAACCTTCCTGGGGCTGAGAATTTAGTAAGTTGATATCATATTGTCAACTTCTATTGGAAATCTACTGGATCTTTACCCATTATATGGTGCACCATGATTTTTGCTATCCTATCATCGTTTCCTTCTCTGAGAACAATATAGTAAAATGAATTATTGCTTGTCGTAGATATCATCAGCAGTTAGCAGTCTTATCAAAAGCTTTTGATCTTATTGATTCAACATGTTGATAATCTGAGGATGTCTTTCTCTACAATGATCTTAGTGTATCACTGTTATATGTCCTCAGGTTGTCCAGCGGTTCCAAGAGTTGTTTGCCCAGACAAAGTACAAAGAAGCTGCAGAGCTTGCAGCGGAATCACCTCAAGGCATACTCCGTACGCCTGACACTGTTGCCAAATTTCAGGTATTGGTTATGATATGGAAATTATGTTTTTTTTCGCAGGATTTCATTGCCTTACTGGTCTCGGAAGAGTTTCTGGAATTCATTTGTTATTCTGCAAAAGGTGATACATATATTAATTTATTTAGTTTTGTAATTGGTCTTCTTTGCAGAGTGTTCCTGTTCAAGCAGGGCAAACACCTCCCTTATTGCAGTACTTTGGGACACTTTTAACGAAAGGAAAGCTAAATGCTTTTGAATCATTGGAACTGTCGCGCCTTGTTGTCAACCAGAATAAGAAAAACCTGTTGGAGAACTGGTTGGCTGAGGATAAGCTGGAGTGCAGTGAGGAACTTGGGGATCTTGTGAAGGTCAAATTTTGAAGTTGAAATTCATTATTTTCATTGCTCATCACGTTATTTGATTTTGTTTTTGCAAGTAGTCTATTGTTCTTGTTATTGATTGCAGTCATAATTCTTTTGTAGACTGTTGATAATGACCTTGCCCTAAAGATATATATCAAAGCAAGAGCAACTCCGAAAGTTGTTGCTGCTTTTGCTGAACGCAGGGAGTTTGACAAGATTCTGATATATTCCAAGCAGGTAAGTGATTTCCATTTGTGTTCGTCTGGCTGACTACTTTTTATTGTCTTTTCCCCCTCTTTTCTGTTTTTTGATTAGTTCTGTTTTCTTCTTTTTTGGTGCTTGTCTGAGCTGGCTATATCTAAGATGGTTCAACCCTCTCTAGTATAAATTAATTCTGGGTTGGATATTAAAAATGATTTTTTGGTTGGTACAGGTTGGATATACACCTGACTATTTGTTCCTTCTTCAAACAATTCTTCGATCTGATCCTCAGGTATGATGTGAATAGTTAGTTACTCAAGTCATAATGTTTTCTATTTCCCATCCTTATCTGCTAGCTTCATTTAGTAGATTTTACGGGATTTACTCCGTGATATTTGAATGTTAATATTTTTGACCATATGGTACTGCTCAACTTGTGCTTTCTTTTTTGAGGATAAAAGTGCAACTAGAATTGTGTATTTAATGATGTCATTTCAAGATATTGTACTCAATTTGGAAAGTTGCCTTGTCTGTGATGAAGAGAAAATGAGCACTTGTAAATCTGACACAGTGCTAGTTTCGATGAAGTTGAACAATTGCTCTGTTTATGCAGGGAGCTGTTAACTTTGCGCT